AGACCTATTAGCCTCTGTAATGTCTCCAGCAAAATTATCTCTAAAATCCTTAATGCGAGGCTTGCCACAATCTTGCCGAGGATTATATCTAGGTACCAAAGCGGCTTTGTAAAGGGCAGAGGCATTACTGAAAATATTCTTCTTGCCCAGGAAATTATTAACGACATTGGAAAACCTAGCAGAGGAGGAAATGTGGTCTTAAAGTTAGATATGACTAAGGCCTATGATAGAGTCTCCTGGAATTATCTATGCATATCCCTCAGGAAGATGGGGTTCTCAAAACTCTGGATCAGCCTCATTCGCAACTACATCTCACATAATGGGTATTCGGTGACTGTGAATGGTATTAGACATGGTTTCTTTAAGTCCAGTAGAGGGTTGAGGCAAGGGGACCCCCTTTCCCCCTCCCTTTTTATCCTGAGTGTTGAGCTTCTCTCCAAGATGCTTAACAATCTACAATCCACTATTGGCAATAATGGTTTTTATATGAATTGCAATGGCCCTGTCATCAATCATCTTGCTTTTGCGGACGATACCATTTTATTTTGTAATGGTAGCAAAAACACCCTTAGAAAGGTTCTGGATACTCTTACCAAATATGAGATGGTGTCAGGGCAACTTATTAACAAAGGCAAGAGCTGCTTTGCTTTAGCACCCAATCCCAGGAACTCTACTGTTAATAGAATAAAAGAGATCACTGGTATGAACCATTATGAACCATCAAATTTTCCCTATTAAATACCTGGGATGCCCTTTGATTACTGGAAGGAAGAAGATCTCTCACTTTTCTGGTATGGTTGACAAAGTCATCAGTAGGATCAGAGGGTGGCATACAAAAATTCTCTCTACTGGTGGAAGAGCTGTCCTGATTAGGCATGTGTTGCTAGCTCTTCCTATTCACGTGCTGGCAGCTGTTAACCCTCCCAAAGGGACTCTCGACATTATTGAAAAATATATCGCTAGATTTTTTTGGTCTGGTCAAGACACGGGGGGTAAATATCATTGGATCTCCTAGCAAAATCTCTGCTTTCCTTACAAAGAGGGAGGCACTAACTTTAGAAGACTAGCAGATATTTGTCAAGCCTCAAGGCTAAACATTGGTGGGCTCCTAGAACCTCTAACTCCCTATGGAGTGAGTTCATGAAGGCTAAGTACCTATCTGGGAATCATCCTTGTAATGCGCTTTGGCAAAATGGGAACTCTGATTGGTGGAAAGCATTGTGTGAGATCAAAGAAATAGCTGAAACTAATATCCATTGGACTGTGGGGAATGGTAATGTATCCTTCTGGTATGACAACTGGACACAGTTTGGTCCCCTATATCAGCTGATCCCCGCTAATATTAACCACAACAATATCCAATTGAATGAAGTTCTCAAAGAGGGCGCTTGGGATTGGAATTGTCTGCAAAATCAATTGCCTGACCACATCAAAGACAAGATAACTGCTCTCAATATCAATATCGATAACAATACTGAAGACATTGCCATTTGGACACCCTCCTCTATGGGTGATTTCTCTATTAGCTCAGCATGGGATATCTTCAGGCAAAGAAGAGCTATCAACATCACTGAGGGCCAGCTTTGGCACAAGGATATTCCCTTTAAGATGTTATTCCTATCCTGGCGAGCTATTCATAATAGACTTCCTACTGATGCCAGAGTTGATTTGATTCTTGTTGCGATATGTCACTGTTGCAACACTAATAACATAACCGCTGAGCTTGAGGATGTGGACCACCTTTTCTGCAAAGGAGACCATGCTACAAAGCTATGGGACTATTTTGCTGGTCCCCTGGGCATTCAATATAGAAACATGAACCTTAAAATGATTTTTCTTAACTGGTGGAATCTTCACACTACCAATCCCATTGCTAAATACATCATCAAAACTCTCCCGCTCATTATTTATTGGGAAATATGGTGGTTAAGATGTAGCTCTAAATATGAACCAGAGAGACCGTCATTATATCGATCAAAAATTAATATTTTAAATACTGTTTTGCAGGTTACTAGAAAGCAGTTTGGAAGGGCAAAAATTGGGAACAGCTGGAACAATCTATGTGAAGCCTGTGAAGCTCCCTTGCACCTAAGAACCAGCCTTATGGTGAGGTGGATCAGACCACCTGGTACTCAAGTTAAACTCAATAATGATGGTAGCCGTATTCAAGGATAATGTGGAGGAGGAGGCCTGGTCAGAAATAGAGAAGGAAAGATCATCTTTGCTTATGCCCTCCATATAAGACCAGGCACCAGCAATCTCGCAGAAGCAGAAGCAATGCTTTACGCTCTAAAATGGTGTGCAAGTAGAGGCTTCTACATGGCCTACGGAGACACTGATTCGATGCTTCTAACAAAATGCATCAATAAGGAATGGAAGCCTCCATGGAGAATAGCTAAACAAGTCAAGGATATCGAGAAATTAGTGGAAAATTATGGATTTAACATTAACCACTGTTACAGGGAAGCAAACAAGCCAGCTGATAAACTGGCAGCCCTTAGCCATGGTGTTAATGGAATCCATACCTTCAACTCCTTCTCTGAGCTTCCTAAACAAGTTAGAGGCATGGTTAACATGGATAGGTGGAGCTTTCCAACCTTCAGGGTTAGACACCCAAAAGCTGCACATATTGTATATGACCCCCCCCCCCCCATAAACTACTCGTCATCAGCTCTTTAACTTTTGTTAGGACAAACATAACTACTCTCAGCTCAATGATCATGTACACAGTTTGGAATGCCAAACTCAATAGTAACTTTTTGCACATCAATAATCAATGGAGATAGTTTTTAATAAAAAAATAAAAAAATTATGATATTGCCACTAAACCTTTTTCTAGCTATGGAGAAATGAATAAAATCCTTATAAACTAGAAAAAAAATTAAAATAAAATTCATTAGAAAAGCACATCAACTAAAAAAATTCGTTCCTATAAAATTCGTAACAAAAATACTCTCAATCCTAATTAATTAAGGAAACAAACAAAATAATACTTACGTTACAAGAACCTATACAGAAGAGAACTAAGTTTATTTAAAGCCACAACTCTATTGCTTCTTAATTGTCTTACTTTATCGACATTATAGATGCACCATTCTGCTTAATTATGTCATGAAAATTTCTAAAAGCATGCAAATTTCTATATCCGTCGGTTGTATATTTATATCTTCGCATTCATCGGGTACCATACGTCGAACTACTTATGTTATACTTCCCGACCGGTATTTGATACTCATATTCGTTACACTACTTATTTTTTGTCTTTGCATTCATCAGATAACACTACTTATACTTTGTTTCTCACTCAATGTTCGATACTCATATTGATGTTCAACTAATCTGAATTCACGCGACGTAAAGCCCAATAAAGGAAAAAGCGCTTCCTAACATTATTTTTTCCATTCCCAGGATTCAAATCAAGTCCTTTAGTTAGAAGGATGGAGGGATGTCCATCTCTCCACAATCCTTGGTGGTGGTAACCATCAAACTGCGTTAAGAATAGTTCATGCTGAATTGAAATCTTTTTATGCTTTAATTAGATATTATTATGATGTAAGCTCGACGATGTGTGTTTCGTTTGAGGGGAACTGAAAATGACTTATATTCTGAAAAATATTTTACGATGTTTGGTTGAATAATAAATTCTTTTTTTATAAGAAAATATTTAATAAAGGGGATACGGAAGTCATTTTCTAGAAAAATATTTTCACTCGACAATTTAACACCAATAAACAGTTTCCATTAAAAATGATTTTAGTTAATTATATCAAACACGCTAAGTGTTTCGACAATATTCTTGAATAATATTGATTGAGAATAATGTTCAAATGTTGGTTAAAGAAATAATATGAAGTTAAAAATGGAGACAATCAGGAAGGAAATCGACTTTCGCCCAAAAGTGAAGGAAGTCATTTCTCCCTTCGGGATTATTTTCCATAAAAAATAATTTTTTTAATAATCAAACATTTGAAAATAACTTATTTTCTTGAAAAAGAACATTTTCCATCATATGTACCAAACACACCCGAATACATCATATGTTGCATTCACTGGTTGTTAAATTGTTAGTAAAAGAAGCGACGCTGAAATTAGTTACCTTAAGTCTGCTCACGTCGAATTTATCCTCTATAAGATTTTTTAAAATAATAAATAAATAAACTCAGACAAGTTCCAACCTTTTCAATGATCACAATAAAAATCTTAATGTGAAAATGGTGAAATGCAGAGAATTTATACCTTCTAAGATATATGTTACTATGGTTGATCATCTACTAACAACATCAAGACAGGCTAATGTTACTAAAAGCATATTAAGACGTGGAAGATATATATATTTATTGTTATGTCATGTTTATTATTTATTATAAATCACATGCAAGTATACTGTTGTACCAATAATTTGATCATCTCACTAAATAAGAATTAGATATGACTCCTCAAAGATAAGTTGCATCAATGTCCGGCTTTTATTATTCTAACATCATATATGCTTGAAAATTATTTTTTATTTTTTATATTTTATAAATAAATTTATTTTATTTATAGATAAGTTCATAATAAAGATTAAAAATAAATAAGAATGTCATAATATAAAAAAAAAGTGAAAAAAATAAAGATTAATAATTTAGAGAGCAAAATACTTATTTGGCTACTAGAAGTTTGAAAAATCTGATTGTGTGACCTTTTCATAAGCATGACATGGAAACAAATTGATAAAACATAAGCCGATCGAGAGTTAAATAATTAACCCAAAAATCTTGGGAACTTAAACACTTGGACCAGTAATTATTGTCCAGATGATAAAATGGAGAAGAAATAGGAATAAAAAACTTTAGTCAAAGACCTTACCCTACGTAAAATCTTGGCCAAGCAATGGCCTCTACGCTCTTTCACTATAACTAACTTTTATAAGCCCAGTATACTTCACTATTTTATCTCTTTTTTTCACTGTCTTTGAGATAAACTTGTGGCCGATGTTAACTTATGGTAAAAAAAAATATGTGTCATTACCATTTTCTGAAAAGGTATAAATAAGCAGGACCAGCTATAGAAACTGTCACAAGTTCTCGTACTTGTGACAATTTAATTAGTAGAACTACACTTTTTCTTTACATGTTAAATTAGTAGACGACAGATGCATCATTCTTCAGTGAAGAGCATTTTTGTTGAGGAGAAAAATAAGCTGAACAATGGAGGAAATAATGTGCCACCTATTTGCCCTAAACCTAGAAAACCTGGTTCTACTCTTCCTGAATTCCTCAAATCCCTGAATTACAACGATAATAGGTACTTCTTCTTTTATTCCCTTTTTTCACATTTTTATATCTTTCTTTCTCTTCTTCATAATAATGGAGTATTTTAATTGATCTTTTGAGAAATAATATTTGGAAATTCATGTGATCGATCAGCCAGAAGAATTTTGATGGAAGAAGTGGGATTCTCAACATTGTTGCCGATAAGGTTTGTTCTCTAAGCCAAGATTCTATATATATA